AAATTAAAATTAGAAGGGAATAAGAGAAAGGTGGAAAAAACAAAAAGAATAAGAGGAAGATAATGACAGTAAGCTATAGAGGAGGAGGGAGAAGAAGACATCAACCCCTTTGCAAATCGTTTGACTTGGGAATTTACCAAATTATCCCTAAACAACAAGGTTCAATAGCATATAATAATCCTTTGTAAATAGCAAGTGTGAGTTGCGAATATTAAAGTGATTACTTTTTAAAAAATCCATTTACAGAAATCAGTTTTCTATCCATGAAAGACTTTCTGCGTAAACAACTGCCTGATGCCAAAAAGAAAGAAAGAAGAAACAAAAAATGTTCCATAAATTTTTCCCAACATTAATAATTCAAATTCAAGCATCGACGATAGATCCAACAACACCAATCAAAGAACCATCAATACCGCCAAGAACAAGATAAAGTCGCCAAGAAAAAAATTTTCTATATATTTTGAGAAAAAATAATGGTTACAGTATGGATTATTTTTCCAAAATTCTTTGAAAAAATTCAAAATTACTTAAATTGGAATCCAATGAAAACCAATTTTAATATAATGTACCGAGACTGAAGCCAAACCAAAAAAGAAAGAAAGAAAGAAAGGAAGAAAGAAAGAAAGGAAGAAAGAAGAGAAAGTAAAAGAAGAGGGATGATGACGTTTCCTTATACAATGTTGGGAACAACTTTTTGAGCGGGGACGTGCTTCATTATTTTAAGTTCATAATCTGTCTCTCCAGCCTTTTGGAGCTGAGCTCAACATCTTTTTTTTTTTTTTTTTAAACATATATATATGCATGTATGTATGCTGAGCTCGACATCTTTTTTTTTTAATATATATATATATATAAATGACTGCTGAGCTCAACATCTTTATTAGAGGACAAATGACGTAGAACGATGACAAGAGTAAACAAAAAAATAATAGTGAGTGATCACAAATTTGTTAAATAAGTAATAGAGAATGGATTATAAGGTTAAAAGTATAAAGTAAATGGATGATCAATATCTTTACGTGGTTAGCAAAGTTTAGTTATAGAAAAGGATGAACAGCAATGGTAAATTGTGAAAATTTTGTTGAAAATTAAATGGCCAAGGAACTAATTCAAGAATTTAAAATGTTGACTGATTTTTTTTTCATACTTATGTTAGACCTATAGGAATTTACAACTAAGCTTAAAATATTATAACTAAGATTTAAAATTTTGATAAAATTTTACAATTTATAATAAATTTTCAAGTAATTTTTTATTTTCAAAGCTGAATTTCCGTTATTAATAATTAATTTTTTTAAATTTATGAAACTTCAACAATGTATAACCTAATTAACTTTCAATTTTTACAATTGAGGTTTCAATTTAAAATACATTTTTAAAATTTACGATTGAATATATTATCCATTTTTAAAATTTTTAAATTTACGATTAAATATATTATCCATTGCATGAAGTCATTTTTATCCATTCATTATTCTTTGATAAATTCATGCCCTCCCCACCCCACAAAAAAAAAAAAATCGTAGGACAATCTTTTCAGGAACGATGCAGTGGCATTTGTTTTGCGGATTCGGCTTTGGTACACCGTGGCGCTCAGCAACAAAACACTGCTGCAGTGTGATTTTATTTTATTTTTTTTTGCTTTTTAAAATCAAAAATTCATTATAATAATAATAAATAAATATTATAAAATTATTATTTTAATATTTAATAAATAAATAAATGTTAAGATGTTAAAATTGAATCTAAATAGTTTAAATAAAAATTTTGCTTTGAACAGTTTAAAACTGTATTTAAAAAATAAAAAAATGATCTGAAAATTTTAAAATAAAAGTTGAGTCTAGAAAAATGAGTTAGCTTCTTATACTTAACAAAGCGATGTCTGAATTTATGGTAAGAGAAATACAAATATTTAAGACTCGATCATATCTTGAATGATATTATTTCTCATAAATAAATAACTGTATAAAATCAATAAAATAAAAAATATTTTAGTTACAAATCTAATTTTTTCAGTATAGTTTTGAATTGTTCAGATTAAAATTTATATATAAACTATTCAAGTTAAATTTTAATGAGTTAAATTATTCAGGTTTAATTTTAACATCTTAATATTTATTTATTTATTAAATGTAAACTAATAATTTTATAATATTTATTTATTATTATTATTATAATAAATTTGTGGTTTAAACAAGCAAAAAAAAAAAAAATACTACCAAACGACAATATTTTAGTGTTGATCACCGAAATCAAGTCCTCTCTGTCTTACGGAAAGTGAGGCAATCGTCACCATGTGTCACAGTAATGCATCTTATCTTATATAACTGTGTGTATTTTTAAAATTGTAGAAACTAATATTACAAATAGATCAAATTACATGGATTAGGAATAAGGAAATAAAATTAGAGGGACTAAAAATAAAATGAAATCAAACTATATGGATGTATTGCTATATGTATTCTAATTTCTATAAGGAAAAGACAGAAAATTTGAGAAAATTCTTCCCATTTATTTCAATGACGCAAGCTCGAGCCATTTAGCTTCTACTATGGAATTGTGGGCCTGAAATGGACTCTGGGCCTACAGTATTCAACAATTCCCCAGGTAACTCGCCCAATAAAAAGGTGAAACATATTCCACAATGCCGGGCAATGGATTCTACGAGAGTGTCTTGTGGTTCAGTCTTACAGTTTGATGAGCCGGGTATCAACATGGCATTTGGAATTTCTACCAAAAAAAAAAAATGTCGTATGGATGGAGGCTCATTGTTTCTCTGTTCTTTATTTAAATACAAAAGTTATTCAGTTCACCGCCCTCTCCCAAAAAAAAAAAAAAACGAATAATTTCTCGGTGAATGTGGAAAGCAAAGGGCAAACGTCTCCTAATTAATTTTGATAGTGGCAGCTGAGACTGCTACATGCTGATTACTAAAATCCAGAATTGAAAGTGAACGAGGGTTGAAGCAGGGGAAACTTCTGAAAATTTTTTGTTTAAAACCCCTTGATCATACTTAAATAAAAGAAAGAAAACTCTTTAAATTTTAAAAATTCACTTCAGATCAAGGGTGTTAAAGTAAATTAAAAATGCATAGTAAAATTACCTCGTTATCTCTCATATTCTCTAATTTTTAAGTGAAGTTGTTCATTTTCTTGTATGAAGTTATTCATTGACTTATAAAAGTTATTTGTACAATTATTGAATCTTGATTTTATTTCAAATGTCATAATCATGGCAAAATAAGTTGTTTATTGCTCATAATAAAGTCATTCATTTCTTTACAAGAAGTTGTTCATTGACCTGTAGGAGTTATTTGTGCTATTATTGAATCTTTATTTTATTTCGGGTGTTGTAATAATGGTAAAACGAGTTGTTCATTTCCCATACTGAAGTTATTTATTTCCTAACATGAAATTATTTATTGACCTATAGGAATTGTTTGTGTCATTATTGAATCTTAATTTTATTCCTTATTATTATCATGGTAAAATGAGTTATTCATTTTCTTACATCAAGTTATCCATTGTCATAAATTGTCATGATCCCAAGCATTTGATATTGAGATCTGCTTGGTATGTTTTAAAGAAATATTCTTATAAAATAAATAGTAAGGAATATAATAATCCATTTTTAAACGTGGTGTAAGATACATTTTTAATACCCAAAATTTTAGTTATATAAGATTACTATGTTTCTACGATTATTCTATTCGGTTATCGCTTTATCCATTTTAAAGTAAGCCTGCTACTTTTAGATTTATTATATTGATTTTTGATTATTTTTATTTTTCATGCCAAACCACCCCTAATGATTAAAATTTCAAATATGATATGACAGTGATTCCAATGACAGTGTTGTAAAATATAACATTTCAGTTACAAGGAATCAACAAATTTAAAGTATTCTTCCAAGAGAAATGATATGATAGTATGATACGTTGATCTATTGTCTTTTGTTTTTTTGGTTGCCAACGCTCTGTCCACTCACGGATTTGTTTGATCCGCGCTCTTTGGTGTTTGGTCTAAAAAGTAAAAACAGTAAAGAAAAGGTTGCACATGGTCACAAGTGGACATCAACATTGATTATCATCCATCACAAACTATATAAAATTTAATTAAAATGAATTACATACTATTATTATTTATCACTATAAAATATATAATACTATTAATTAATATGAGAGATTATCAGTACACTGGATTTAAGATAGAAGATTCTAATTAGCACATTATTATTAATTAATTAATCCTAGAACGCTCGTTGTGATTTGGCCCAATTTATCACAGCCCACAACCCAAACATCCAACAATTGGTACTAGCCCAAAACGTCCATATAGAGTCAATATCTTACCGACCATCATTGACCCTTAAAAAAAAGTTGACTAAGTCCATACACAAACAACCTTTTATCACTTTTCAGCTCAGAGAAAATGTCTGACGTGTCTAATTTATATGAACTAAGCAATATTTTAACCGCGAATATGTATAATTTCTTATCCATTTGCTTTCAAATTCCCTAACAATATGGCCAAATTATAAATACTCATGTTAGTTTAGAACATAAAAAATATATATTTAAAAGTTGATTTCAATAAATATTTGTAGTCAAGATTATGTCATACTAATATTGGTCTTGCTTGTTGTATCATGTATCAGAAAATACTGCTCATGGCTAACAAATAATTCAATAAACTTTTATTTTTTAATTTAAAAAATTACATCAGGCCCAAAGCCCACCATATGGGTGCAGCAGCGAAGTCTGAAACTGCCGACAAGTTGGGGCAATCAAGTTTGAACTAAGTCTTAATTGAAGATTAAATAAATAAATAAATTGGAAAATGTGAAGGAAAAGTGATTAGATAAGGTGATAATTGTGCAAAATAATGGAGATATAGTACAAAAATTCAGTACGGTAGTACAATCAAAAGGGTGATAGAGAGATGGAGGAAGCACCAAAAAAATGGTAGTACAAAATGCCATGCCAATGGTGGATTCATTCAGGTACTGCATTCTCAAGCATCAATAATAACACACACACACACATAAAAGACAGACATTGCTGTATCTATCCATCTCATCTCTGTGTAGAGTGGTGCAGCTTGTGATGAGAATCAATGGTTACTTCCCTCCTTCACTACACTTCCAGATCCTCTGAATTTCTTCTGTTCAGGTATGGAAGTAAACTCTCTGTGAAGTTCTGTTGTTTACAGAGGTAGGCATGATGCAGATTCCAGGGATGGATCTGAGAGTCTGAATGTATTGATACAGGCAAGAGAAGAAATTATCAAATTAATGGAGTTCATTTATTTATGCAAGTGTGATTGTGGCAGATGAATGTGTGGGTCCCACTTGTTAGACAGCTGAGCAAGAGTGGCCATTGATTCTCATCACAACGTGCTCCACTTTACCAGGCAACTCCATTGGCTTTTTGCTCACAGTATTCTTTTATTGAAGTCAATCTTATACTATACATAGTGTCATTAGTGTACATTAAATATGGATACTTCTCTTAACGTGGTTTATCATGTGTGGAACTAATTTATTCTACTAGACTCAATTTTGTGGGTAATTCCATCAGTCCGTTGACATTTTGCCTTTACTGAGAGCCATATGTAATTGTTGCTCAGTGCTCACACCGCTAAGTGATAAACTTTAATTTGCAATGAAGCAAAACTTATATCTTTCTTTCAGGAATCAAAAAGCATTCCTCAAGCAGTTCTGCTGCTGGACAGCTTATTGACCATTTCTTAATCACTCAAACGCGACAAAGCAGAGCACTAAGATTTGAAACAGGGGAGCAAGATTTTGAACTTACCTTGTGGGAACCAGTTTTAAATATTTTCTTGATATTGTTGTATAGGTACTATGTATTTCCGTTGCCTTCAGATTTATATCAAACTTTATATTATATGTATCTTTTAATCTCAACTTCTCCACCCCTGTTTGTTGGCAGTGAAATTCAACGAGCTTGTTTGGATTAACGCTGCAGAACTATATTTTACATAAAGTACAGTTTCCAAATTAAAATTGAGTTATTATTATGTAATTTATGTTTGAATACTTTTTTATTAAAATTTAATTTGACAAACTAAAATTTATTTGAATGATATAATTAAAAACCAAATTTAAATATTAAAAAAATGGTACTAAACAAAAAACCTAAAAAAGACATTTGTATGTTTCTCTTTCTCACACACACATATAAGTATGAAATTTAATAAATTCAAGAAAATATTAAAATTATAATTATAAAAATAAAAAGAGTTAATGTATTAATGTAGAAAATATTTTTAAATACTAACAAAAATTAAATTAGATCTATTTAAAGAATATATATATATATATGTATATATATTACAAATAATAAAAATGTTAAATTTATAAATAATGAAAATATCAATTTTTAAAAGGAAATGTGAAAGGATAAACAGGGTATTCAATAAATTTAAAATGCATTAGATGTTGTTAATGGTTAGATTTCAACGTAACTAATGCTAAAGCTTCAAAATCTAGCTTCCAACTTAAACTGTAGTTGAGAAAGAAAAGTTCATTTATCAACTACTCTTAGCCAAACATATTTTTTTATTTCTAACTAACTTTTAAGCTAACTAAGTGGAATTCCAAACAAACACGTAGGTTACTTGCATTGAAAGTTTTGCGACAAGTAAGGCATGCAAAACTTGATCAACCATTAAACCATTGATCAAGATATTGATTCACAGATTAGTGATCAGAAAAAAGCTGGAGGGTTGTGATTAATATTTTATGCTAATTAATAAAAATATTTAATTTCCATATTATTTTAGTCAAATAATTGTTTTATTAGTATCATTTTGTGAAAAAAATTAATGCAAGATAAATCCCTAGGGGCTCTAAAATAATTATCATATTTTGTAATTTTTTGTATCACTTGCCTATTTAGATGAGATTTGTTTATCATTCTCAAAAAAGCAATTATAATAAAACAACTTCTAACTATCCGCAACATCATAATGTGCAAGTTTAGCAAAACGTCATCACCTTGCCTTACAACATCACCATAAGCCAAATACAAAGGTAGTAAACTAGTAATAATTAAGTTCTAGGACTTGATGAGAAATTAGACTACAGGTGTTATTGTGTTAATTACTCGCGGGGGACCTAGTTACTTTTATGCAATATTTGGTATGCAGAAAAATATTTTCTAGAAAAAAATATAAAATACACTTATCTCCACTTTTTTTTTTAAGTGTATTTCTCTTTTTTTATAGAAAATATTTTTGTAGATACTAAATGTTGCGTTAGTTTCCTCCCCAATGACTATACACATATGAAGCAACATTTGAGCTGCATAACCATCAAATTTATCATAAGTGAAGTGTCATTGTGGCTTCATCAAATCATATTAAAGCATTATTCTATTAATAAGTGTTTGATTAAATATGTAAAATACATGCATTAATTTTTTTTAAACAATCTAAAAATTAGTTGTAAACTTAGCCCTTGGTGGTGTATTTGCTACTCTTCGATGACACGGAAAACACTTTTTTATTCCCCTTTCCTGAAGTTGGTTAAGTCTCTTTTGCTCTCTCTCTATATATATATATATAAGTTGGTGAAATCTTTGACTTAATGACTTGAAAGTGCTTGCCCTGCTTCCTTTTAGTAAGGTACTCAAACTGAATCAGTAATTAAATTAGTCAAGATATTAGTTCAAGAGTTAATTATAAAAATTATAATCAAATTGTGATTAAACCATTTATAAAAAAATAATTTTATTAAACAGGTCAAGAAATTAATTTAATAATTTACTAATTCAATTAAGTGAGTTGATCTGAATTTTTATACTGTACTTTTTAGGCTATACAATACTCTAATTCTTCTAATAATATACACACAGGCCTCCAGATAAAAGGTTGAGGATTTATTTTCAATGAAGGGCCATTTTAGATAGATTGGAAAACGGGCCATCTTCTTTGGGCTCAACGTTTTTGTACCTGTTCTTAATATTTAGTCATCTTGTGATAGGTCGGGCGACAGTCAATTTTGTCCATCCAAGGAGGATTCTTGGGCTACACACCGGGCTAAGTTGTTGTTTTGATAGAAGAACAGGCTTCATTTTATCAAAAACAAAAAAAAGAAAATAAAAAAGGCTTCAACACAATTACATGCAAAAGTCAGTTCAAGAACCCCATTTAATGCCTGTTTGAATACGCTGGTATAATCAATTTTACCCACCAAAATTATGGTTTTGCTAAATACAACCCAAACACCTCATTTTTTTCCGATAATAGACTTTCCTTCTAGAACTCTGTTTTCTCTTAAACAATCTGCAACTGCCTTTTATAATGAGAGAATGATAAATAAAGACCTTGTAATAACATTAATGTCAAATTAAAAATTTTAGTATTGAAACATGGTTGAAGAAGTACTGAAATTTGGAAACATCAATGTTGAAAAGTTTTAATTTGACATTAAAGCTCTTATAAGGTCCTCATTTGTCATTTGCTCTTTTATAATCCATTATCGCATTTGACTCCATTATCATTTGTCAGAATTTTCGATCGATCCAAGATACCTTCAATCTCTAGCAAAGGATGACACCTTTTATATTGTCTGAAGACGGTGGTGTTCAAACAAAATTTTCCAATACTTTGACCGGCAAGATAAATGTATGCATAGAAAATAAAGTTATGGGATCTTAAAATCAAAACATATATAGCAGATTGTGATGAAGATTAATATGGAAAAAATATTATTAATATTATAATATAATTTAAATTTTTATAAAATATTTTTATATTTTTAATATGATTTTCAAATATAATTTTCATAATTAATCACATATATGTTAAACATTAATTGGATCACTATTATACATATTTTTCTTGTGAAATAGAATTTAACAAATTTAATAATATCATATATAATTATATTAATATGTATATCTTAAAAGACAATGTCCTTTATAATAAGTTGAACATCTATAACATAATTAATTATAATAAAAATCAATTACATTAACTAATTTTTTCATAATTAATTATACCCCAATGAAATCTAATCAAGCCCATTATAAGAAGAAAGGGGAAAAAGTGAGCATGAACATTGTAAAGTATGATAGCAATACTTATAAGAAGGATGATAATCAAGTCTCAAAAGAGAAAATTAATGACAGTTAGATCTTCGATAAGTTGTTTTTTGAAAAATTTGTTCCAAATATCATTTTAAATAGTTACAAATTTAAAAGTTTTAATTGCAATATGATATTTAAATTTTAAATATAATAATCAATTTGAAATTCAGATTCCTGTTTATAACTATTTGAATTGATATTTATAATTTATTTTACAAAAATTTTTATTGAGAATCTAACAATTATTAATTCATCCTTTTAGGGTTTTATTATCATTCTCCCTACTTGATATCCCCATCTAGTTTTAAAAGACGAAGAAGATCTAAAAGTTTAAGTTATTTTCATATAACCCAATTCCAATAAATACAAAATTCAATATGGTAGATAGATGTGAAAATATAAACCAACTCACATCATATAGGATAACTCATATACATGAATTAGAGGTAGGATGGGTCCAACTTATTTTTATATAAATTAAAAAATTTTTAACTCAGTCCAGTCTTTGTAGGTTGGTGTGTTAAATGGGTAAATCTATCCACTCATTTAACTCTTTTTTATGCATTATATTTTTTAAAAAAATTTACGCAAAAATGATTTTTAAAAAGTTCACAATCTAACCCAACCTTTGTAAATTGATCTGAGACTTGAATTGATGGAATGTGAGAATTGACTAAAGCACGAGTGTGAATAGTGATTAGTAAGGATTGACTTACAACCGAATGAGATATTGAGACTTAGGAGGAGAGGATCGGCCAATGATCACATTACATTAGGTAATTCAGGTTAGGGTTTTAATTTTTTTTCATTTTTTTTAATGTGATTTAAGGTTTGTTCAATTGTCTGCTTGTGAAGGTTTTTTTTTTTAGTGGAAAGGAAAAAAAAATGTTGCTAAAGAAAATTGTTCATAGCAGAGGCGCTAGAAACTCTTTCAGTTTAGTCCTTAATTTTTTCTTTTTCTTTCTTTTTTTTTTTAAAACTATGAGTTATGGGTTAATCCTAACCCGTGAGGATTCGCTTATTTTCTTTACAAATCATTTACGTCAATTCATATAACTTGACGGATATTCCTCACTTTGTTAGTGGAACGATGGCGTATCTCAACAATTAAATCAGTACGCAAGCAAACTGACCGAAGTAACAAGTGGGTTTATACAACTGGAGCTGATAATGCATTGCTACTGTCTTGCATTTTAATCCGGGACTTTCAATGCCACGATGGAACCTTTTCTTTTTGAAATTAAAACTCCAAGACGGAAATTTGATGAATAATGATTAAAAAAAAAATTAGGAAACATGAGAGAGAATGCAACCATCCCTGGAAAAAAAAAGGGAAGAAGATATAGAAGTTGAGAAACTGACCTAAGTGAATCAGCCATGTGAGCTTGTTTGAATATTGGACGCTGCTCCCTGCAGGTTTCACGGAGACAAAGATCCAGTTGATGAGTTAAGGGACGATGATGTGCTGTGTTGGGTTTAAGTGAGTACGAGAAACATACAAACAAGCAAGTTTAAATAAAGACAAGTTTAGTGCACGTCACGGTCCACGCAAGAGGAATCTCGTTCCCATTTGGCTGTTCATTTTAATATTCAACATGAAAAAGGTAAATAAAAGCGCGCGTCATTCCAAGTTTAAGGTTTTTTACGTAAAATTTTTTGAAGGGAAATACCTAGTTGGTTTAAGCTTTGAGGAAGAACATGTATATTTTATGGGTTATATATAATGCTTTTGGTGAGGTCACTATTCACTAATTCCGCGGAAAATCAACTCACGTTTGCCCATTATTATAAATCTTTTTTTTAATATACCTTC